ATACACACACACACACACACACACACACAGACACTTTCCAAAAAATTAGAACATCATGGAAAAGTTGTTTAACTTCCCAATTCCATTCAAAAAGTTAATCTTTAATAGATGATAGATTCAGGACCCACAATTTAAACAATTTCAAGTATTTATTAGTTTATTTTTACATATTTGGTCTTCCAGCTCATGAAACCCACGAAAACAGGATTTCAAAAAATTAGAATACTGTGGAGAAATCAGCCCAAATGTTGCAGGGCATGAATGTTTTAAACTGAGTGTGACACTAATCATCTACTAAACTCGAAGCACCTGCACAGGTTTCCCCAGGTGTCATTAAATTGCTTCAGTTTGGTTCAATTGTCTCAGTTCGGTTCTATATGGGGAAGACTGCAGACATAAGAACTGGCCAAAAGACCATCATTAATATCCTCCATAGGATGGGTAAGCCACAAAAGTCCATAGCTAAGGAGGCTGGCTGTTCACAGAGTGCTGTGTCCAAGCATATCAATGGAACTCCTACATGTGTCCAGTTAACCACTGTTTTTGTCTGTCCTAACAGGTCTCACTTGTAAATGAGTCTTTGAGGCTCAATGTGATTTATCTGTTTAAATTAAGGTTGAATGAAAAAAAAAAAAGTCTAGTGGAAGGGCAAAATGTGGCAGGAGAAGATGCACTAACAAAAGAGATGACCGTGGGCTTCAGCGGATTATCAAATAGAGAAGATTCCAGAATCTGGCAGAGATCCAGAAAGAGTGGAATGAGGCGCGAGTCACAGCTTCAAAAACCACCACATTCAGTTGCATCCGGGAGATGGGCGACAACTGTCGGGTTCCTCGGTCCTCTTTTCTGATTAAAGTAAAGTGAGCCTTTCATTCAGAAATCAAGGTCCAAGGGTTTGGAGGAAGAAGGGTGAGGAACAGAACCCATACTGCTTGAGGTCCAGTGTGAAATATCCAGTCAGTCATGATCTGAGGTGCAATGTCCGGTGCAGGTGTTGGTAAACTCTGCTTTCTTAAATCCAAGGTCACTGCAACAGTCTACCAGAATGTTTTAGAGGACTTCATGATTCCTGCTGCTGAGGATCTGTATGGAGATGTAGATTTCATCTTCCAGCAGGACCTGGCCCTTGTCCATGCCACCAGAAGCACCAAACCTGGTTTGATGCCCATGCCACAGTGCTTGACTGGCCAGACAACTCGCTGGACCTAAACCCCATTGAGAATCTATGAGGTATTCTCAAGAGGAAAATGAAGGACACCAGACCAACAACAAAGAAGAGCTGACAGCATCAAGGAAATCTGGGCTTCCATAACTCCCAGTCAATGCTACAGGCTGATTACCTCAATGCCACGTTGCATCGAGGCAGAGATTAGGGCAAAGGGATTCTCAACCAAGTATTGAAAATTGACATATTGTTTTGAAAATACCATATTTTGATTGATTTGTTGTGATCCTAATTTATTATTTTTAATTTTTTTGCTGGAAAAACTGAGTAGTGTGGGCTGATTTCTCCACAGTATTCTAATTTTTTGAAATCCTGTTTTTGTGGGTTTTATGAGCTGAAAGCCCAAATTATGTAAAAAAATAAACCAATAAATACTTGAAATCGTTTAAATTGTGGGCCCTGAATCTATCATACATTAAAGATTAACTTTTTGAATGAAATTCTGGAGGTTAAACAACTTTTCCATGATATTCTAATTTTTTGGAAAGGGTCTGTATATATTTGCACAATATATATAATATATCTAATTAATATAATATAATTACACTGCCTGGTCAAAAAAAAGTTGCTACCTGGATTTAACTAAGCAAATAGGTACGAGCCTCCAATTAGATAATTACTGCATGAGTGATTATGTTTCAGCTGGCAACAAGTTATTTAAGCCCAACTGGTGCAATGAGTTGCTTCTCATTTCTTAAACAACCATGTTGAAAGACACATCGTGTGGTCGTGGAAAAGATGTCAGTCTGTTTGAGAAGGATCAAATCATCGGCATCAAGCAGAGAAAACATCTAAGGAGATTGCAGAAACTACTAAAATTGGGTTGAGAACTGTCCAACGCATTATTAAAAACTGGAAGGATAGTGGGGACCCATCGACTTAGAGGAAGAAATGTGGCCAGAAAAAATATCCTGAATGATTGTGATCGGTGATCACTTAAACGTTTGGTGAAATCAAATGGAAGAAAAACATCAGTTGCACTCAGGACTATGTTTAATAGTGACAGTAAGAGCATTTCATTATTCAGAAAGTTATTCATTTTGTTCTGTTACTTGAAAATTATTATGATTGAAATAATTGTTTGAAAAAAGGGGCAGATATAATAAGATTTTTTCTTCTTTGTGCTGCCTTTCATTTTAAATCTTTTGTATCTCTTTTTATATTGTTATGGAATTGTTTTGTACTTTTTTTAAAATGAATAAACTTTATACCATACCATACCATTTCCACATGTACAATGTGAAGGGAACTCAAGGGATTGGGACTGAAAAGCTGTGTAGCCTTAAGAAAACCACAAATCAGTGAGGTTAACCGGAGAAAATGGGCTTCAATTTGCTAGGGAACATAAAGATTGGACTCTGGAGCAATGGAAGAAGGCCATGTGGTCAGATGAGTCCAGATTGACCCAGTTCCAGAGTGATGGGCGCATCAGGGTAAGAGGAGAGGCAGGTGAAGTGATGCACCCATCATGCCTAGTGCCTCGTCATCAATGGAAGATTTTGGTAAAGAAAAAAAAAGCAACACTGGATGGAAATAGATTTTGTGACATTGCAGAAGCTTATTGAAACAATGACACAGAGAATGCATGCTGTAATCAAAGCTAAAGTCGGTCCAATGAAATATTAGTGTGATCTTTTTTTTGGCCAGGCAGTGTATATTGTTTATCATGCATTTTAGCTTATACCTTGAAATACTTATTCATTCAAATTCATCCTGCATCATTATATGTATGCCGTAATCAAAACATATTGTTGTTTACTATCTCTCTTTAGGACGTTGTAAATTACTTTTTCACTTTTTGGTACTTTATTTTTGTACTCTTATTGCATGCTTTGGTAGTTCTTGTTTGTTCTTTGATTTTTTTTTAGCGAGTCAAATCAGTTCTTCTCATCCTGAGCATTTCATTGCACTGTTGACCTTGTGTTAACCTTGAATATGACAAATAAACACAACTTGAGCATCAAGTTTCACTTCATCTCACTGTACTGTGTCCACTGCTGACACATTATCTTATATTATGTATACACACACGTATAATTATACTTATCTGTGTGTATGTTTGTGTGTGTACATATGGATTATCTTTGATAAAAATAGATACATGTTATTGACCTGGTGTGATGATGCCTTCAGGGAAGTTGAAATGTATTTAGTATGCTTGCGTATGTTTATGTTTATCCGTCAGTGTGTATGTGTATATTTGTGTATTTGTACATTGTTTCCCTTCCTATTATCCAAGGAGTGCGCACCGCCAAGTCAGCATGATTAAGCCCCCCCCCACCCCCCAGTGTCACTTACACCTAAAATGTAGATCTGTTCCTCTGTTTTAGGAGCCCTGTATATGTTTAGTTGACCAGCCTTACTGTTTTTCTCTCAATGTGAGAGTTGTGGTTGTTGATGAATCTTTTGTTTTTTGAAGGTGATGTCTATTCAGAAGAAGTCTTCTTTCTCGCTGGCGTCCTTTCTAGAGAGGTTACCTGGAGATTTCTTCTCTCATACTGAGGTAGGCCCTCAGAGCTGATGATGACCTCTGGATTTTGTGCTGAACCCTTTTTCATGGTGCACCTGCTACTTGTTGTCCCCAGGAAGACATCGATGATGACAGTGACCTCTCAGACTATGGTGATGAAGCCGATGGTCGGAAAAACGCTCTGGCTGAACCCTGCTTCATGCTCATTGGAGAAATCTTTGAACTCAGAGGAAGTGAGGCATTCATGGAGTCATCAAATAAACCTGCATCAAAGTGAGCCGACTTAACTGCTTTCTGTTCCTGCAGTGTTCAAGTGGGTGAGGAAGACGCTCATCGCTCTGGTCCAGGTCACGTTCGGTCGCACTATCAACAAGTAAGAACTGACATGTGACATTTTATCTTCAAGAGTTGTCTCAGTCAGTTCTGAACAAATAAACATTCTGTTCAGAGTTGGCTTCGCATGTTTCATGAAGTTTATTAAATAGATCATGTAATCAATCTGGTTTCAGGAAACAACACAGCACAATGACTGTAAAGTTTTTAATGATGTTGAAGCATTGGATGTTAAGGATTATTTTGTTGCATTTTACTTAGGCCTGTCTAAAGCTTTTGACACTATGGATCATAACATCTTGTCATAAACTCTCAGAAATTGGTTTCTCAGTTCACACCATTGGTTGGTTCTCTAACTACCTCTCAGATCGGAGACAGTGTGTTCAACATAATGGTACTTCTTCCAGTTATTTAACAATTTACCTCAAGGCTCAGTTTTAGGACCCACCCTCTTCACAATCTACATAGGTAATGTAGGTCAGAGCATTCCTGATGCATCCATACATTTCTATGCTGATGGTACAGTTGTTTATTGTCGAGCTAAAACAGTTGATAAGGTTTTCCAGCTTTTGCAATCTGCTTTGACATCATTCAGTCAGATTTATTCAGTCTCAAACTTGTCCTGAACGCCAACAAAACCAAAGGGATGCTATTTTTCAAACAGGAAGTCGGTCCCAGCTGTTCTTCCTTTGAGTTTATCCTTGAATGATGTCCCGATTGAGTTTGTGGATTCCTACAAGCTCCCTGCAGATGTTGGATGCTGTCTATCATGGTGCACTAAGACTCGTAACTGGCTGTGAATATCTTACCCATCACTGCACCCTGTATTCACTGATTAACTTGTCATCATTAACTTCATGCAGACTCTCTCACTGGTACATTTTCATCTTTAAATCACTTCTTGGTCTGCTGCCTTCATACATCTCCTCCTACTTGTCTCTGCGTGAGTGCAGCTACGGCGTACGCTCTCAGGACATTATTACCTGCAGTGTTCCCTCAGTGCAGACTGAACTTGGCAAAAGGGCCTTCTCCTACTCCGCTCCTGTTTCCTGGAATATCTTGCAAAAAGATCTGAAGCTCCAGACCTTGACCTCTCTAAGTGGCTTCAAACATCTGTTAAGTTCATGGCATTAACCAATGCAGACATGTTCCTGTTTTTAGTTTTTTACATTGCCTTGCAACCTAGTTGTTTTTTGTTAGATTTTTTTAATGTATTTTTTCCCATTTATTTTTTCAATTTATATGCTTTATTTTATGATTGTCCACTGTTGTCATCATTCTTTGTTAAACTCAGGTCTCTCTTGTAAATGAATCCCCAAGGCTCAATGAGACTAACCTGTATAAATAAAGGTTAAATGACTGTGATGCAATTCATCCATCCATCCATTTTCTTTTATCCGCTTCTTCCATTTTGGGTCACAGGGGTCGCCGGTGCCCATGTCCAGCAATCACTGTGCGAGGGGCGGGGGACACCCTGGACAGGTTGCAAGTCCATCACAGGGACACATAGAGACAAACGAGACAAACAACCATTCACTCTCTCACTCACACCTAGAGACAATTTAGAGTTACCAATCAGTCTAACATGCATGTTTTTGGTCTGTGGGAGGAAACCGGAGTACCCGGAGAAAACCCACGCATGCACGGAGAGAACATGCAAACTCCACCCAGAAAGGCCCCCTGACAGGGATTTGAATTAATTCACTGTAATCCTAATTTGAGCAAGAAATCTTAGTTAATGTGTTCTGGTTACACTACAAAATACCAAAAGTACCTACCTACCTACCTACCTACTTACTTACTTACTTACTTATATATTTTTTTATTCAACCTTTATTTAAACAGAAAATCACTTTGAGCCTCGAAGACTCATTTACAAGCGAGACCTGTTTGGACAGACAAAAAAACAGTGGTTAACTGGACACATGTAGGAGTTGGAGGCGAAAAAATTCCTATCAGACTTTTTTTTTCTTGCCTTAGAAAAAAACCCCTCTAATATAAAAAAAACCCACCTCGCACAAACAGCACATAGTGACGTAGACATTCTGCAAACTGAGACAAGAACGGTCAGCAATGTTTATAGATGCTCTCGAGGTCACTGTAAGAGTTCTGATAGGATGTAATAATCAGTCAATGTCCGGTGAGATCCATCTCGAGGTATTCAATTCAATTCAGTTTATTTATATAGCGCCAAATCACAACAAAGTTGTCTCAGGGCACTTTACATACATAAAAGCCAATGAGTAAAGTTCTCTATCTAAGGAATCCAGCAGACAAGTTGAATCTTGGCTTCGTTGCAGTCTCCCATCCTGAGCAAGCACAGTGGCAACAGTGGAAAGGAAAAACTCCCTTTTAAAAGGAAGAAACCTCCAGCAGAACCAGGCTCAGGACAAGCAGCCATCTGCTTTGACCGGCTGGTTGAGAGGACGGGAAGGAGAGACAGACGAACATAGAATGGTAGGTCCAGGTATAGGTCCAGGTGTATCTGAAAGACAAAAACACATGTTAAGGATAGAAAAAATAATTACAAATACAAAACAGGTTGAGCAGAGTAAGTAAAGACAGTAGCAGAGTGAAAATTGTGGTCAGTTTGTCCTCCACCAGTCTAAGTCTATAGCAGCATAAGGACAGCTCAGGAAACCCAAGCCGACCCTAACTATAGGATTTAGCAAAAAGGCAAGTCTTAAGCCTAGTTTTAAAACTGGATAATGTGTCAGGCTCACGGACAGATTGGAAATTGGTTCCACAAGAGAGGAGCCTGATAACTGAAAGATCTGCCTCCCATTCTGTTTTTGTAAATTATAGGAACCACAAGTAAACCTGCAGTCTGAGAGCGAAGTGCTCTGTTAGGAAAATATGGAACAATAAGATCTGTAATATAAGATGGAGCCAGGTTGTTGAGAGCTTTTTAGGTTAAAAGTAAGATTTTGAATTCTATTCTGGACTTGACAGGGAGCCAATGGAGAGAAACTAAAACTGGAGAAATATGATCTCTCCTACTAACTCCGGTTAAGACTCTAGCAGCAGCATTTTGGACCAACTGAAGACGTTTTAAAGAAGTATTTGGACATCCAGGTAATAAACCATTGCAATAGTCCAGTCTAGACGTGACAAATGCATGGACCAGTTTTTCTGCATCATTTTTAGATAAGATGTTTTTAATTTTAGTTATATTATGCAGGTGGAAGAAGGCAGTTCTAGTAACGTTTTTAATGTGGGGGATAAAAGACATGTCCTGATCAAAAATAACACCAAGATTTTTAACATTAGAGCTGGAGGACAGATTAATGCCATCTAAGGAGGGAGAAAGACTGAAAAATTAATTCCTAAGGTGCTCAGGTCCAAAAACCAAAACCTCAGTCTTGTCTGTGTTCAACAGGAGAAAATTAAGGGTCATCCAGATTTTTATGTCTTTAAAACATGCTTGTAGTCTAAGTAGCTGATATGATTCATTGAGTTTAATGGACAAATATAATTGTGTGTCATCAGCATAACAATGGAAATTTATCCCATGCTGTTTAATAACTTTACCTAATGGAAGCATATATAAAGTAAAGAGTATTGGCCCAAGCACTGAGCCCTGAGGAACTCCATGACTAACTTTGGTGTATGAAGAAGATTTATTATTTACATTTACAAACTGGAATCTATCAAATAGATATGATTTAAACCATTTTAGGGCTGTTCCTGTAATCCCAATATCATATTCAAGCCTCTGTAGTAAAATATTGTGATCAACTGTATCAAATGCAGCAGTGAGGTCTAACAGGACCAGTATAGACACAAGGCCATTGTCTGAGGCCATGAGAATATCATTAGTTACTTTTACTAGTGCTGTTTCTGTGCTATTATAAGCTCTAAACCCTGACTGAAACTCTTGAAACAGATTATTTCTTTGTAGATGTTCACGCAACTGACCTGCAACTATTTTCTCTAGAATTTTTTAGATGAAAGTTAGATTAGATATAGGTCTATAGTTGGCCAGAATTTCTGAATCAAGGTCAGACTTCTTAAGTAAAGGTTTAATTCCAGCAACTTTAAAATGCTGTGGTACATAACCATTCATCCATCCATTATCTTTACCCGTTTATTCCATTTTGGGTCACGGGGGTCGCCGGTGCCCATGTCCAGCAATCACTGTGCGAGGGGCGGGGTACACCCTGGACAGGTCGCAAGTCTATCACAGGGCCACATAGAGACAAACGAGACAAACAACCATTCACTTTCTCATGCACACCTAGGGACAATTTTTTTAGAGTTACCAATCAGCCTAACATGCATGTTTTTGGTCTGTGGGAGGAAACCGGAGCACCCGGAGAAAACCCACGCATGCACGGAGAGAACATGCAAACTCCACCCAGAAAGGCCCCTGGACCGGGGTTTGAACCAAGGACCTGCTCGCTGAGAGGCAGCAGCTCTACCAGTTGCGCCACTGTGCTGCCCTACATAACCATCCATTAAAGACAAATTAAGTAGATCCAAAATGTGGACATTAATTAGGGGAAATACCTCTTTAAACAGTCTGGTTGGGATGGGATCTAGCAGGCATGTGGATGGTTTGGATGAGGTTATTATTTTTGACAATTCAGAGAGCTCAACAGGACAAAAACTGTCCAAACATAAATCAGGCTCTAGTGACATTTTTAAAGTTGCCTCATTTGACAGGGGACTAGAGATAGTAGAAGGAAGGATGGTTTGAATTTTCTCTCTAATTGAAATAATTTTATTTATAAAGAATCTCATGAAGTCATAACTACATATAGTTGTAGGGATACATGGTTCAACAGAAATGAGACTTTTAATTAGTCTAGCAGTAGTACTAAACAGAAACCTAGGATTATTTTTATTCTCCTCTATTAAAGATGAGTAATGTAAAGTTCTAGCGTTACAGAGAGCTTTTTTATATGTTAACATACTATCTTTCCAAGTTAAATAAAATTCTTCAACATTAGCAGAGCGCCATTTTCTCTCCTGGTTTCTAGATGCCTGCTTTAAAGTACGTAACTCAGAATTGAACCAAGGAGCCAGTTTCCTCTGACTGATTACTTTCTTTTTCAGTGGAGCAATTTTATCAAGTGAAGTTTGCATTGAAGTTGTAAGATGATCAACTAGATGATCTAAGTCTCTGTTCTCTGATGCATTACTCTGCAAGTCAGAGGAAAACAATGATGGAAGAGATCGTTTAAATTTGGTTACAGCATTTTTTGATAAGCACCTGCTGAGATGAAATTTACTCTCAGTGACTGTGTAGTCATTTAATGTAAACTCAAAGGTTATTAAAAAATGGTCGGACAGAATAGGATTTTGAGGAACTATTACCAAGTCCTTAATCTCTACACCATAGGTCAGAACTAAATCAAGAGTGTGATGATAAGAATGAGTAGATTACGGACGTTTTGGGTAAAACCAAATGAGTCTATTAAATTATTAAAGGCTATGCTTAAGCTATCACTCTCAACATCCACATGAATATTGAAGTCACCCATTATGATGATTTTATCATCATATCTTCATATCACATCATATCATGTATCTTCAAAAACTTGTTTGGAATTAGCTAACAGGCTAATGTGTCAGAAGGTTGTGTGCTTATAGGAGTCTAAACCTGAACGTACAGTGAGGATGGACTGGTGAACTGGTCCCAGCTGAAACATAGATGGACTAGAATACTTCAGGAAACCTGTTGGAAACTTGTGAAGATCTGAGACTGAAGTTCCCCTTTGAGCAGGACAAAACCTCCAGGAGAACCACCTAAATGTCCTGGAGTTGTCCAGACCTCATGAGAATCTGTGGTTTGGTTGAAAGCAGCAGTGTCCACCTTGAAGAATGGACAGAAGTTTCAGTCATGGAGATTATCTGCAGAGATACAGGAACTGCTGCAAAGAGTGGCTTTTCACTTTGTTTTCAATTTGGGTGGTCCTGCAGCCCGGGGGAGCCGAGAGGCCAGCGGAGTCTGGGTGGACGGATCGGACGGCATCTGTGGCCAGTTTCTTGGGATCCACTGTGGGATGGACCTTAACAAGAGATTCTTCCTGTCTACAGCCATCAGTGTCTATAGCATCTCTTAATGAAACGAGGATAACAAGTTACAACAACAAATAATTTCCCTTTGGGATTAAAAAAGTATTTTTGAATTTGAATTAGAATTTTGAAAAACAAGTTTTTATTTCTCCATCATTTCAAAGTATTTGTAGATTTATTTATTTAGATCAAATGAAAATCTTCATTCACGTTGTAAGGAAACAAACAAAGATTAGCAAGGTGGTAAAACTTTTGTAACCCACTATAACAAGATCTTCTTGTTGGCTTTAGGCAGATCCGGGACACTGTCCACTGGATGTTCTGTGAGCAGATGCTGGTGTGCTACATCAGTGTGTTCAGGGACACCTTTTGGCCTAACGGGACCTTGGCGCCACACGGGAGGGTCCGAACAGACTTTGAACGATGTGAGACCAAGGAGCGGGCTCAGCAGAAACTACTGGACAACATTCCAGGTTAGCACCATGCTCAAACAGGACCTGCACACATTCAGTAGTTGCACTGAAAGGGATAGTCTGGTCATTTCTGAAGTGTTCAACAGTTTGGACCCGTTACATCCCTCACTGAACACGCTGAATGGACTGAAGACATCAATCTCCTTAGACTGCTGAAGGTAAACCTTTGGACTGACTGAAATAAGAATTTACTGCGATCTGTGGCCTCCAGCTTCCTTCAGGTGTCACTCTGTACTGTTTACATGTGGACTCTGGGCTGTCATCAGTTCAGTTTTATATATACAGTAGTCCCTCGTTTATCACAGGAGGATCCATACCCTGAAGACTCGCTATGTGAAAAACCGCAAATTAGAAATAGTAGTACAAGTAGTAAGTAGTAGTTTATTTAAGGTATTTTAAACACTTCCCACACTCTTGCAATATTCTAAACATCCATCCATCCATTATCTTTACCCGCTTCTTCCATTTTGGGTCACGGGGGTCGCCGGTGCCCATGTCCAGCAATCACTGTGCGAGAGGCGGGGTACACCCTGGACAAGTTGCAAGTCCATCAGAGGGCCACATAGAGACAAACGAGACAAACAACCATTCACTCTCTCACTCACACCTAGGGACAATTTAGAGTTACCAATCAGCCTAACATGCATGTTTTTGATCTGTGGGAGGAATCTAGAGTACCTGGAGAAAACCCACGCATGCACGGAGAGAACATGCAAACTCCACCCAGAAAGGCCCCCGGACCGGGATTTGAACCGGGAACCTGCTTGCGGAGAGGCAGCAGCTCTACCAGTTGCGCCACCGTGCTGCCTGTAAACTTATTTATTCATTTATTCGTCCATTTATTTATTTATTAATTTATTCATTCATTTAAAATAAACAAAACAAATTCATCAAAAAGAAAAAAACATTGAATGAAAAGGGTGCAGAAAGAAGAAGATTCTTATATCTGCCCTTTATTTAAAAAAATAAAATAAAATAAACAAACAACAACTCAGGTTTGAACAATTCCCAAAGCGAAAACAAAAACATCAGGCATCCTTCACATGGTATCATATTTTCCCAACAATTTTAACTTAATCATCTTTTTAAACATAAATTGTTTTAGAAATTTTTATGGCGATATCAAGACAATTCTATTTATTAAGCACTGATATATACATACAAACTAAACAAAGTTTCTTAAGAAATTTCATAATTGCTAATGTAGTGTATTTTCACAGTTGTTTTTGAGCAATAGATGTTTTATTAACTTGAAAACTACATAAAAGGGGCTAAAAGGGATACAGTGACTACAGACCTGTGGCCTTGACATCACATGTCATGAAGTCGCTGGAGAGGCTGGTCCTGAAACATGTCAGATCAGTGGTGGAAACATACCTGGACCCCCTACAGTTTGCACACCAGCCACACATTGGAGTTGATGGCACCATCATCTACCTGCTGCACAGAGTCTGCACACACCTGGACAGGGCAGGCAGCACTGTAAGAGTCATGTTCTTTGACTTTTCCAGTGTTTTTAACACCATAAGACCTGCTCTGCTCTGCAGTAGCTCCTGGACATACAGGTGAACGACTCGCTGGTCACCTGGATCAGAGTCTAACTCTCAGGTCGGCCACAGTATGTGAGGCTGCAGAACTCCACCTCAGACATCACACTGAGCAGCACAGGGTCTCCTCAGGAAACGATCCTCTCACCGTTTCTGTTCACACTCTCCACCTTGGACTTCAGGTACAACTCACAGTCCTGCCATCTGCAGAAGTTCTGGATGACTCTGCCATTGTGTGCTGCATCACTGGTGACCAGGAAGCTGAATACAGAGGTGTGGTGGACAGAACCACCTGCAGCTCAATGTTGGAAAAACAAGTATCTGGGGGTTCACTTAGACAAAAAACTGGACTGGACCGCTAACACCAACACCCTCTACAAAAAGGGCAGAGTCGCCTCTTTCTTCTGAGGAGACTCAGGTCCTTTAACGTCTGCAGGACCATGCTGCAGATGTTTTACCACTCAGTGGTTTCCAGCATCTTCTTCTACGCTGTGGTGTTTGAGTTTGAGGGACTTCCTGTGTTGTTCTGTGGAGCACCTCGATGGACTCAGTCTACGACTGAAGGTGCTGTGGTAAGAGTCCAGGGTGTCATGCAGGGGGTGTGACGTGTTGTTCAGGATCTGGAGCAGTTTCCTCAGCATCCTCTGCTCAGACACCTCTGTCAGAGACTGCAGGTCCACCAAGAAGTCTGTTGGCATCAGAAAGCTGATGCCAACAGACTTGATAAACTCATCAAGAGAGCTGGTTCAGTTCTGGGAGTGGACCTGCAGTTTCTGACAGAGGTGTCTGAGCAGAGGATGCTGAGGAAACTGCTCCAGATCCTGAACAACACGTCACACCCCCTGCATGACACCCTGGACTCTTACCACAGCACCTTCAGTCGTAGACTGAGACCACCGAGGTGCTCCACAGAACATCACAGGAAGTCCCTCAAACTTTTCAACTCCTCCCCCTTTCTGCACATAGGACAATAAAATTAATCCTGCACCACAATAAACACTTTAATGTTTCTGTCTGCACCTGTTTTAGAACTTAATTGTTGGTATTTTTATATTCACTGTTATTTTTTATATCTTATGTGATTCCTTGTGTATGTTCCTTTGTACTGAAACTCTGGCACAACAATTTCCTGCAGAATCATTAAAGTTATATCTTATCTTGTCTTTTGTTTCACTAGCCATTAGCCTAGCTTTGATGAAGACTGTTGCCTCTTCATCCTGTGTGCTCTATGACTGATGTCACAGCTGATAAAGTACTGAACATCATATCAGAATGACCAGACTATCATTTTAAGCTTCAAAACCAATGTGGAATGTGTGTCATTGTGTTTCTTCTTTTGTTATTTTTAAACAGATGCACTAGCAAATTTAGTTGGCCAGCAGAATGCCAGATTTGGAATCATCAAGATCTTTAATGCTCTGCAGGAGACCAATGCCAACAAACATCTTCTCTATGTAAGAAAAGAAAAACAACGGCAAACATGATCTCTTCCATCAAATCAGCTTCTAGTTTTCAAAAACTCATGATGTCTCACTGTCTTTGTTAGGTGTTGATGGAAATGTTACTCAAGGAAGTTTGTCCTGAACTCAGAGGAGCCATGGACAACATCTAAAGCACAAAGACAGCAAGTGGCTCCACAAACCGAGGTTCCCTTGCTTCATCTTTCTGGCCTCAGTGTGTCAGACCAACCACAGACTGCCAGATGAGACAAAGACAGAGACGTTCAAGGTTAAACTTTGACAGAGGCATTGATCACAGCTGAGACACTGAATGATGGGACCAACCTAGCTTAATTAACTATGTGCAGATTTCAAGCTGAAAAAGAAGAAATCACCAATGTTTGACTTCATTTGGAAGAGAACAGAACAAGTTGTACTTTAGACCTTGTGTGTGACACATGAGGGTTTTTGTTCAGTGATAACGTTCAAGATAAATACTAGAGCAAAATGAAAACATATTTTTGTTCTTGTGTGAATCATGGAGTCTAGTCAGTGACCTGACTGGATTTTCTTTTCTAGAGCAGAACTTGAATAAACAAACACAGATGGTACTGAGAACACAGTTCAGATTCTTTTTGTTTTTGTTGATGAACCATGTATCATGGCCCACGGACCTTGGAACATTCCTGCACACAAACTGAGCAACACTTGTGTTCTGTGATTCTTGTTGAGGCTTATAATTGTGCAATATAATTTCATGTTAAAGTCCTTGTGATGATTTTATTTATGATTACTATTGATAGATTTTATTTTTAACAAAAATGTTTAGAAAGCCTTTCTAAAAGCAATAAATCACAAACAAAAAAATGGTGTTTGTTTCGTTTTTTTGTTCCTTAATTTATGAGTGACTGACAGATACTGGTATCGTACTTCAGTTGTCTTCGTCTTCTGTCAGATTTTTCCTCTTCAGGGGTTGCCACTGCAATAAATCCTCCATCTCACCCTGTCCTAAGTTCTTGAAGTCCTGCACTTTTGGGACCTCTGCTCTTTGTAGCCTCACTGTTCCACCTGTCCACGGAACCTGCTGTCCTCATGCAATACCACACCTCCTCCCTCAGCACTCTGTCATATGCTTTTCTAAAGACACAATGGAGATCTTTCTGACCCTCTCTGTACTTCTCCATCAGCATCCTCAAAGCCAAGATGACATCTGTGGTGCTCTTTCTTGGCATGAAACCATACTGCTGCTCACAAATAGTCACCTCTCATCTAAGTCTATCTTCCACAATGTAGGGGTTTTTCTTTTTAGAAAACCAGCACCTATTAAAAAATAATTACCAGATACTCTCCCAGATTTTCATTGTCATCAAATTAATTCACCTGTAGTTGCTACAACTCTGTAAATTACCCTTGTTCTTAAAAATGGGCACCAGCACACTTCTCCATTCCTCAGGCATTTTCTAACCTTCAAATATACCATTGAATATTTGAGTGAAAAACTTCACTGCCATCTCTCCAAGACATTTCCAAACCTGCACTTGTATGTCATAAGGTCCTACTGGCTTCCCCTTCTTCATTCTTTTCAGAGACTTCTGGACTTCACCCTCACTAATCTTTCCCACTTCCTGGTCCACAGTTTCTATGACCTCTACTCTTCTTTCTCTTTCATTCTCTTCATTCATTAGCTCCTCAAAGTACTCCCATCACATTCTCCTCACTTGTTAGAACATTACCATTCCTATCTTTAATAAGTCTAACCTGCTGCACATCCTTTCCAGCCTGATCACTCTGACTCTCCAATTGGTACAAGTCCTTCTCGCCTTAGTGTCCAGCTCATACACCTCCTATTTTGTCTTTTCTACCTCCCTTTTTGCTATGTGTTGCATCTCCTTTTTTTCTTATCTCTCAAGACCTCTCACTGTCCCATTTCTTCTTGGTTAGCCTCTTCCTCTGGATCACTTCCTATACTTCACTATTCCTCCACCAGGTTTCCTTATCCTCTATTCTCTATCCAGATGACACATCAAGTACCTTCCTACCTGTCTCTCTAATTGCTGTTGCTGTAGTAGTACAGTCATTTGGAAGCTCTTTTTTTAATCACCCAGAGCCTTTAACAGCTCCTCTCTGAACTCTTCACAACATTCTTCTTTCTTCAGCTTCCACCATTTGGTCTTCTTCTCTTATTTTACTTTTTTTCTCTTCTTCACAACAGTCAGTCTACACAACCATCCTATGCTGTCTGGCCACGCTCTCCCCTGCCACAACCTTACAGTCTCCAATCTCCCTCAGGTTTCCTCTTCTACACAGAGTGTAGTCAACCTGTGTACTCCTCCTTCCACTTTTATAGGTCACTCTATGTTCCTCCCTCTTTTGGAAATAAGTGTTGACTATAGCCATTTCCATTCTCTTGGTAAAATCCACCATCATCTGTCCTTCCTGGTTTCTTTCCTTGACACCAAACCTACCCATCACTGCCTTATCCCCTCTTTCCTTCACCAACATGTCCATTCTGATCTGTTCCAATCACTGCTCTTTTACTCCATGGGAATGTTCTCTATTTTGGGCACAAAATCAGGTCATAAATATTATGAATGTGTAAAAAAAATTGCATATGTAAAAAAAAATCACGTTACAATTTTTTTTACAATGTTCTGTTTACAGATGCGAATCCAAAAACTACTTGCGAATCTCCTGCGAGTTTCATTTTACGAGTACAAATTTTGTCCTCAATTTTCCTCCTTTCAGCTGATTGGTCAATGTCATGTCATTCACAAATTTAATAATCCAATCAGCCAATAGATGGGTTTGACTGTCGGGGTCACGCGTTACGTAGCTGCGGCAGAGCGGAAACTGCTTTTGTTTATGTGCCAACAGTGCAAGTATTGCGGCCTGAAAGATTATAATAAGAGTAAAAGATACTCTGACAATTCTTTAATTCAGGCAGGTGCAGCGGGAATTTATTTACAATTCAAATATTTACATAACAAAGATTAAGTTTTATCTTTAAACCAAGTCCAATATAGCACTTAAAGAATAAAAAATATTTATATAAAACAGGTTATTTCACATCGTTCACACATACTGTTTCTTATGTTCTTGTTTAAATGTCCTTTTGCCAAAAGATAATTACATCAGTTTTGTTTCTGTTCAGTTGGAGAAAGTTATGGCACATCCACACATTGATTTGTTCTAAACATCTGTTCAGTGCTTGGATGGTTCAGAGTCACCTGGTGACATCGTAATGTAGAGCTGTGTATCATTTGTGTTGTTATGGTATCATCTTATTTCTTGTTATAACCTGATCTAGTGAGAGCATATAGATATTGAATAATAGTGGTCTCAGGATTGAACCTTGGGGTACACCGTATGTGACTTCTATCTGCTTCAATGAAAAGTTACCAATTTAGACCAAAAAAAAAAAATCCCTGTTCTTTATGTCTTTGTCTTTATCTTTGGTTGGCCTTGTAGCCGTTTTAAGTGCTCTATAAATAAAATGGTATGGTATGGTATGGTATGGTATATAAGATTTGAACCAATTGAGTACTGGACCGGAGAGTTTTACCCAACTCTCCAGTCGTTTCAATAATATGTCATGGTCAACAGTATCAAATGCTGCACTTAGGTCCAACAGAACCAGCACTGTGGTTCTTCCACAGCCTGTATTTATGTGGATGTCATTGAACACTTTGACAAGGGCAGTCTCAGTACTGTGGTGAGCACGGAAACCGGACTGAAAGATGTCAAAGTGGTTGGTCATTGTTAGAAAGCTATTTATCTGTTGAAACAGCTTTTTCAATAATTTGCTGATGAATGGAAGGTTGGAGATTGCCCTGTAATTCTGCAGTAGTGATTTGTCCAGACTGTTCTTTTTTATCAGTGGTTTGATAACTGCTGTCTTTAAAGCCTGGAGGAAAACACCTGATGAGAGGGCTGAGTTTACTATTTGAATCAGATCCAATGCAATGACAGGCAGAGCTTTCTTAAGGAAAGTTGTGGGTAGGATATCAAGACAGCAGGAGGAGGAGCTT